AAATCCCTTGCCAAACAAATCTAATGCTTACTCGATAAACCGCCAAGCGGAGCCACGTTGCCGGATGGGAGGAAAATTCCGTCGCAGACCGAAAGGAGCTTCAGTTCAATATTCCCAGCTGAGGAATAAGTCTGGTGCATGCAAGAGATACAGCCAATAAATCAGTGGCGTAGCCATCTTTACGATGTATCGATTGTTATGTCATTTAAACCTATGGTAAAGGATTGATAAACAGGGTGTTCTCAACGAACACCTTGATAATCGATTCTTCACCTTAGTTTCATGTGGATATCGATAATCGATCATCCACGCCTCGCCACTAATAAATACACTCTGTACAGATGAAATCGCACAAAAAACACGTTGGGCACGTCAAAAAAGTCTGAAATCCACACTATAAAAAAAAAAGAAAAACAGATTGGATCTAGAGTCCAGACTCTTAAAAACATCGACAAGAAAAAATACTCATGATTCAATCGGATTTAAGCTTAAATCAAGAACCAAGCCTCTTAATTTAAGCGGATTTCTTTTTGATCGAAGCAAAAATCTGATTGAATCAAGAGTCCATTTTCTTGTCAATGTTCTCAAGAGTCTGGACTCTAGATCCAATGTGTTTTTTTTTTCCAGTGCAGGCCTTAGTAAGTTTGCAATCTGCGTATTTTGTAACACGCTTTTCTACTTAAAAAGAGTCGTTTTGGTATCGTTAAGTTTGAAAAAATGATTACAAAACAATGTTACTCTAACAAACAAAAAAAAAAAAAAAAAAAAAAAAAAAAAAAAACCTTTTGTCGACAAGATGCTACGCTTTAAGTCAAAATAATATCTCAAGAAACGAATTTCCATGTTAAACCTCGTAAATTGAGGTATGAATCTTTTTGACCTCACCGCCGATGACGAAAAAATGTGCACCTGCGCTCACGCAGCAGGGTAATTTCAGCGGTAGTCGTAATCTTCTACCATCAAGTCAAGGCGACACTGTCGAAGGCGCTCAGAGCAACTATTCCGCCACAGAGGTATTGCACGGTATCAGACGAAAATGAAGGCGCATCATCGTTCGTGAATGGACTGGTATCGTTTACCACTGTGCAGAGTCCTACTGATCCTATGACTTGCGGCTCCTGGGGGTCGATTGTTGAATCGATATCGAATGACCTTGGTCGATAACTCCCTATCTTAACAATGCTGTATATCGATCAAGTTTATTCGATAACGATTCAACAATCCAGCCAATGCGATCGGGCGTATCTCAATTTCCACGTGAGCGTTGATCTCTGAATGACTCCATTCTTTCCGGAGCACAGAGGAGCGACGAATTGTTCCCGTCAGCGCGGCGTGCTTTGCGATACATCGATTGATCGGCCATTTAAACTTATGGAAAATGATCGATAAACTGGTTGTTCAGAGCGAACATCTTAATAGTCGATTCTTTACCATCGGTTTAAATGGCATAACAATCGATACATCGCAATTCATGCCACGCCACTGCCATTGCTGTATCTGCTCCAAGCCACAGACTCACAACCAAAAGAGGTTTGGAGCAGTAGCGCGGCGTGGTTTGCGATGTATCGAATGCCATTTAAACCTATGGAAAAGAATCGATAAACAGTATGTTCGCAATCAACACCTTAATAATCGATTCTTTACAACAGCTTCAAACGGCGAAATATCGATAATAGAGAATTTAAAGGTGTCTGAAATTTGATGAATTTCGTGTTGGATCTGCTGAGTGCACTGAACACGAGGATATGCTTGGTTCATGAATTGAACAATTATTTGAGAAGATACGACAAAATAATCTAATGCGTTAAAATACATGTGTTCTAATAGGAAATGCCGCTACATCGTCACCTTCCAGGCAAAGTATCACAAGCGCCATGCGACGTTTAAAAATTTCCGCCGCCATTTTATTTCTTTACTGAGAAATTGTCGGTTGAATCTGTTTGGAAATTTCACTAAATTTTATCGGGAGCACAAAGAAAATTCAGTGAAATTTTCGGACAGCTTCGTCGAACAATTTCTCTGTAAAAAAATACAATGACGGCGGAAATTTTTAAACGTCGCATGGCGCTTGTGATACTTTGCCTGGAAGGTGACGACATGACGTCACTAGGCGGTGCATTTTCTCACTTTTAAATCTATTTTCATACCATTTCCCATATCAGAAAAAAATATGGAAAAATACTGTGAAATCAGCTCTTTAAACCCTCTCAGGTGGATCAATAAAAAATTTGCATGCAAATTCTCCATTGATCAATCGCGCCCCGCCACTGGTTTAGAGTGATTTTTCTTCACCAACAATTAATTCTTTTCCAAAGCTACCGGCTGACATTTTCAACTACTCTCAGACGCACCTCTAAGCTTCAGAGAGAAGAAACGAGCAGATTTGCGCAATTCTTTTCCAGTCAAAAGAATATCTACGCTCCTTCGCTTACGAACGTAACGGCGAATCATCAAGAACTCGCGTAAAGATTTAATATCTCGTCAAAGCCGTTTGCGTCGTGGCAACCAGGAGCCCCCGACTCAAAGGACGACTTTTCCGGGAACTATCCCGCTTTTTCCCGGAGCCCCCCTTTCGAACCAAGGGAAAGCGCCTTACAGATTTCAGACATTGCCAAATTTCGCCTGATGAAGCACGAATTTTCTCGGAACCTCGGAAATTTCCGTTTTTCTTTAAAGTTTTAAAGGATTCGTCGTTTCTCCCACGAAAGAACGTAACTGTATTTCACGGTGCCAAATTTCCCCTTGTAAATTTTATTTTTACCGGGAGAATTTTGAGTATTTTTAACTGATAATTTCACTGATTTTTCCTCTGATCTCATGCGAAAACCAGTAAAATTTTCAGTTGAAAATGCCCAAAATTCTCCCGGTAAAAATGCAATTTGCAAGGGGACATTTGGCAACATGAAATGTAGTAACGTTCTTTTGTCCGGGAAACGAAGCACAGTGAATCGAGTCTTCGGAAAAGGTCGGACATAAAATTTTTGGCAAAAATTGCAAAATTTTACGTTTACGTCGACAGAATTTTCATTGTATGGAGTGCATTTACAGAAAATTTTACGAGAATACCAACGGAACCACTTTTAGAACCTCAAAGTTTTGTATAAATGGAGTTACGAGCTTTTAAAATTTCCGAACATTTTCCGACCTCTCCCATTGACTCGATGCAATGTCAGGATGTCTAGCATCAGGATTCTCCCGATTTTTCCAATTCTGTCAGGATGTGTGGTCAATCATGATGGTCGTAAAATCAGGATTTGAGAGAAATCGGCCGTCCGATCAAATTTTTTCATCGAGCTATTTTTGTAAGGACACATTCGCCTAATTTTTTTCCGCAAAAAAAATCAGGATTTGGAAAAATGATGAAATCAGGATTTGGCAGTCAAAAATCAGGAAAAATCAGGATTTAGCAGTCAAAAATCAGGTAAAATCAGGATTTAGCAGTCAAAAATCAGGAAAAATCAGGATTTCCAAAAACGAAAAAAATCTTGTCACCCTGAATGTGCGACGGATTGCGCTCGCAATTTAATGCATCGTCTTCGAGAATGCCAATGGAGAACATTCGCGATTCTTAAAAAAATAAATATTTCACCGAGGAGAAATTTGACAACGCTGAGATACTCATACGGCGTTTTTCCCTAGCGCGGCAGCGGTACCCCCGGGACTAGTTTTTGTTTAATGTAAATTTCATGGTTTCGAAATCCTTACAGATGTGAGCGGTTTCGTATTAATATTAATGCGTTTTCGGCTTTGCGATACGCTCCTCGGGNGGGGGGGGGGGGGGGGGGGGGGGGGGGTCGATCTCGGAGGGTTTAGGACCCGGAGTGGGCGCGACGGATGGAGTTCGGTTTCGTACGGATAACTTTTTCTTGTTAACGTCTTTCTTCCCCCGCTCGTGTTTTCTTTTCCGCGAGCGTGTTTTCTTTCCGCTCGACGGGGGTAGAAAAAAGAGGGGGAGGCGCACTCCCCCCCCTCCCTCCTGCCCCCGGGGGTTTGGACGCGTATGAATGGGGGCTTCAAGAGCCGGAGCATCAATGAAGGTGTCCCGAGCTTCTGTCAGCGAATGGTCGGTGGAAAGTGCTCAGAAATCATCACTTTTCCCCGTTCGTACCCACGTAAAATATGTGTATTTTATCGCACAATCTGACAACAATATCGTCGTTCCTCTGACGTTAGGGGGCTCTCAATTTCTACGTGTGATTGTTGAAATTGATACACAAAGCGATTGACGAAGGAGATAGGCACTAGGTAGTATGGAGCAATCCTATTGGTTGAAATAGGTGCCGTTCCTGTAGGCTGAAAGGGTAAATGAACGAAATTCTACCAAATGGAACTATGTGTATTAAGATAACCCATCAGAACCCATCTATGGGATAGAAACCCATCAGAGTATATGCATGACTGAGCTCACGCTATAATACACATAGTTCCGTTTGGCAGAAATACGTGCAAATGATGGACTAACTATAGGATGTATATTGGGTTAGCTTTAGTTACTACTATTACCTATCTCCATTTTTTTGCCAAATTTGGCTGGCTAAGCTGTATAAAACATGGTAATACACACATTAAGCCGCTTTCACAGCGCAGTCTCGCGCTCTGCGACGCCCAATCGCCATTGCCCCCTATCCTCCCAGAGATCATCAGGCAATTGGCACCACCTGAAAATCAAATCACCTTGTTAAAGTTGGAAATATTTGATGTGGCTTGGTGTATTTCTGCTAACGCGATTAAAACAAGGTACCAGCAAAATTTCGAGGAAATTTTTTCATAAAAATCCTCAAAAAATAGCATTTTATCGTAGGGAATTTGACTCCATTTGAATTTTCTTGAGGCGCTTGTTCCCAGCACGTGATCAGTAAGAGAAACTAATTTTTTTATAAACTTATTTTATGTACGAATAAATAACTCGTAATAATTTTCAAGTCATGCATCATTGTTTAAATGACCATTAACTTTTTCTCGAAACATTTTTTTTAAACAGATTACTGTTTCTGTTCCAGGTTACCGGTGTGGTGGGTCGCGCCGAAACGTTGTCATCGGTGTTTTTCTTATCGGCTTTCATATTCTACACTAAAGCGGCCAAGAGGAAAAAGAGTACAGGTAAGCAACTGCATTGTGATTTTTACAACATAACATCCTCCTTTCAATCGTGATAATAGCATAAAATATCAAATATCATGGTCCAATTCAAAACGGAGGTGGAGAATGTTCAGTCAAGAGTCTTGACCAATTTGCGTAACATCAATCTTGACTGTAGAATCTGACTAGCGGGTTCATTTTAAAGATGCAATTCACACAATTTAAGACACCTTCAAATGGAAAATTTGCAGGTGTCTAAAATTTTGTGGATTTCATGTATAAGATGAGACCTCCAAGAAAACTGAGCACAGGAATATCCTTTGTTTCAGAATTGAACTATGATTTTAGGAGCACTGGAAAAAAAACACATTGGATCTGGAGTCCAGACTCTTAAGAACATTGACAAGAAAAAATACTCTTGATTCAATCAGATTTAAGCTTAAATCAAGAACCAAGCATCTTGATTTAGATTTCCTTTTGATTTAAGCTTAAATCAGATTGAATCGAGAGTCCTTTTTCTTGTCAATGTTTTCAAGAGTCTTGACTCTAGATTCAATGTGTTTTTTTTTTCCAGTGAGATATGACAAAATGATCTAATCTGCTAAACGACGTGTGTTTAAATGGAATGTGCCGCCAGATGACGTCACTAGGCGGTGCATTTTCTCACTTTTAAATATATTTTTGTACTATTTCCCCTATCAGAAAAAAATTGTAAAAAATTCCGTGAAAGCAGCTCTTTAAGCATCACTTTCAGATGAATCAATAACAAATTTGCATGCAAATTCTCCATTCTCTCCGAATTTGATCCGACCTCTTTCATTGACTGGATCCACTTCGCGGCGAGAGGAAGCAATAGAAAACTAATTAACCGCTCTCGAGTCTCGTCTCGTCGCGAAAGCGAGAGCAGATGCTTCTCCACCGCTGAGGCCGATCCGCCGAGTGGAAACGCAACCCGAAGAATTCCGGAGCACAAACACTCACACACTCACACACGCGCGGCTCTCGACGGTGGAAAGGTTTCCGCGAACCGAAAAATCGGATCCAGACTCCCGGAGCAGGTATCTTTCGATGAGGTGAAGTGTAATTAAAAGGCACTTTATCAGGAGCAGCTGGAACAACAACCTCGAGAAGGAGATGAAAGCTCGAACAAACGAGAGCAGCATCGAGCTCCTGCATCGAACATGTTGTCTGAAGACACGTCTCTGTGTTGCCACCAGTTCGGAATCTAAACAGGGGGGTGATTATTGAAATTGATAGACAAATCAATGGACAAAGCAGGCAAAGGAAAAATGGAGCGATCCTACTGGTTGAAAGCGAATAGTTTTTACAAACAAGTAGGGAAATGATTGACTATAGTTGGACCGCGTTAAGCAGAAAGGAACCAAGCCACATCAGCTACTGCCAAATTTAACTAGACAATTTAATTTTTTCCATGAGAACAGTTTTGCGGATTTTCGTGCAAATTTAGTGAATTTTCTGCATAGTACAAAGCAAATTCCCTGAAAATTTTAAAGGAATCCGCTTAAACCTACTTTTGTAAAAAATTAAATTGCCTCGTTAAATTTGGCAATAGCTAATGTAGCCTGGTTCTTTCTGTTAAACTTGGTCCAGTTAGTCAATGGCTGGAACAACAACCTCGAGAAGGAGATGAAAGCTCGAACAAACGAGAGCAGCATCATTCTCCTGCATCGAACATGTTGTCTGAAGACACGTCACAGTGTTGCCACCAGTTTGGAATCTAAACAGGGGGCTGATTATTGAAATTCATAGACAAAGCGATGGAAAAATCAATAGACAAAGCAGGCAAAGGAAAAATAAAGCGATCCTATGGGTTGAAACGAGCAGTTTTTACAAACAAATGGGGAAATGGTGGACTAACTATAGGGTCCCTCGTGTCGTGAGTTGCTGTTAGTGTATTACTTACCGCCTTTGCCCATTGCAACCACCCGCCTCCACCAATAGAAGCGCTCCATTTTCCTCTTCGTCTTCTTTGTCTATAGCCTTGTCTATCAAGGTCAGTAATCAGCCCCCAGGCGTGTAGTATCGAAACCTGGGACCTCAAATTTTCCCCCGAATTAAGGTAGCCCTTTACTGGGGCCGATGAAATTTCCTGCTTTTCGGAATTTTGGGCAAATCGAAAAAAAGTATTCTGTTAGTATTGAATTCATCGCACACGCAGGTTGTCTAACGACCGGAAGAACTGGGAAATGTCAGGGAATTTTTTTTGGTGTCAGGGAAAGCAGGGAAGACGTCGGGAAATATGCAGAAATTCGGCGCGTCAAGGAACTCCATTTTACAAGCGATTTTCGTGTCCGCGAAGCGTTAGGGAAATCGAAAAAAAAGAAATTTCGGAAAATGTATCGCGAATATATAATTTCTTGACCACAAATTTAAGATTCTCTTTTTTTTCACACTGATAAAAAAACTCCGGCCGTGGAAGCCGTCTGTATGGGCTATATAGACATACTGTTCGCGTTCTGGGCTCAGAGGCCGAAAGTTCCGGGCTTAGCAACCGGGGTAATCGAAGCTACGGTTCCAGCACCCGAAACTTTAGGCCTGTGAGTCCGGAACGAACGGTATGTCCATATAGCCCGTAAGTGCGGCTTCCTCGGCCGCAGTTTTTTTATCAGTGTGAAAAAAAGAGTATCTTAAAATTGCTGTCAAGAAATATTATTCGACAGAGATGATGATTTTGCCGTGTGCGATTAATTCAATCGTGACAGAGTACTTTTTATCGGTTTGCCGAAAACAGGGTTGCCACAGAAATTAAAAAATGAATTTCTCCGATTTCCCTGACATTTTCCTGATTTCCAAGACATATTTTGGTAAAATTAGCCCAAAATTTTTTTCAGTGAAGTGTTAAAATATCAGAAAAATCCAGAATGCAATTTTAGTAGACACCCTGAACACTTTTTTTTTACTCGAGTCATCGATATATCGAAGCCTCGGAGGGAAATTTCGCAACTGCCACCCAGACGCTACGTGTGCGAAAGCCCCATTGTTCGAATACCCTCCCCCCACCATACCGCCGCGCCGCCCTCCCAACCGGCGACTTATAATTTTCACTTAGCGTTTTCTCTGATTAGCCGGGTCCCCGGCGTGTAACTAAGCGTGAGTAAATTGCCAGAGCTCAAACGTCCCCCGCTTTTCTTTGTGTTGCCCCCCGAGTTTCTTTCCCGAGTCAGCAACAAAACCTCGCCCCCCACCCCCTCCCCGCTACTTCGGGTTTTCCAAGCCTTTGTCCGTTGTCCGGATCCTTTTCGGGGGAACCCGGCCCCCGGACGGCGCGGCATCAGGGTTCCGAACCGACGGAATCGCCTTTTATTAGAGTTCTTTTAAGGTACGGAAGTTTTTCTAACCTTCGATGAGATCGAACTCACCAATGGTTCGCTGAACAGTTTGTTTCTTATAAAATGTTCTGCGGGCCGATTATTGGAATTGATAGACAAAGCTATAGACAAAGAAGAGAAAAGGGATATGGTGTTATCCTATTGGTGGGATCGGTTGATTGCAATGGACAAAGAAGGTAAGTAATAGACTAACTAACGGCAACCGACAAGAGACCCGACATTTAGTCCGTCATTTTCCCTCTCAATCTGTAAGAACCACCAGTTACAACCAATGGGATCGCTCAATACTCCCTATGTCTCCTTTTTCAATCGCTTTGTCTATCAATTTCAATAATTAGTCCGCTGGGAGTGTACAGTGAGTAAAGTCATCATGTACAATTTCCCATATCAAAAAAAAATTACGCTAAATCCTGCGAACTCAGCTCCTAAAGTATTTTCATATGAAGCAATACAATTTTTCGCGCAAATTCTACATTGCTATCCACGCCCAAGTAGCATTTCTCAACGGAAAAATCGCTATATATTGCGATCTTATCGGCGATAAAATCGCCAGGATCATCAACATCTGAGCGATTAACCTCGATTTTATCGTCAAAAATTGATAACAATTTTATCGAACCAAAAATTGCGATGTGCAGCGATTTAATCGCCATATATCGTAATTGAATCAGTGAGAACGAAAACACACCAACTCGAAAAAATGAAAATAATCAAGACACACACAAATCTGCATATTAGGTGAAGAAGTTAGTCTAAGAAAAATATTTTTGGTGCCTAAAAGCAAGTACTTAAGGAAACTTTAAACGTCCAAATTGGAACAGATACGGTAACTTCAATCACCTTTATGAAAATTGTCTGTCCTTGGTGAAAAATGAGCATTTTCGAGGTACCGAGTTGGTGTGTTTTCGTTCTCACTAATTCCATTTTTAATGAGATAATATCTTTGTATATTGCTACCTAATAATCGCGATAACCAACCGATAAAATCGCTATTTATCCCAATCACTGCTACTTGGGTCGTAGGTTGCCGTTAGTTAATCTATTACCCACCGCCATTCCAATTACCCGCTTCCACTAATAGGATCGCTTCATTTCCTCCTCGTTCTCTTTGTTTTTTACATTTACAAATATTCCTCTGCGCAACACCTCCATTAAGAAATAGTTGCTTGAGGCGCTGTGGCACGCTGAGGTGCGGCGGCGCTGCCCGAAAGCGCATTGGCGCCTACAAACCTAAGGGGATACTTCACGCATTGCGTAATGCTTGAAGTATCCCCTCAGGTTTGTAGGCGCCAGTGCGCGTTTGACTCTGGCATTACGCTGCTCTGTATTCAGCTCTAATATTTAAACTTGCGGAGTGAGCGTTTTTCAACTCATGATTTTGAAATGTTAGCACACTCAGCACCAAGTATTCTTATAGGGCGTGGAGCTCTCCGCTCTGGAAATACGACAAGTGTTTGACTGGTCTGATTTTGTTTTTGGGCAGGCTGGAAGTCTCTGTGCCTGTGCCTGGTGTGCAAGGCGACGGCGATGCTGTGCAAGGAGCAAGGGATCACTGTCACCGGCATCTGTGCCGTCTACGAGCTCTTCGTCGTCCAGAAGGTAAGCCGCCGCCCGTCACAATTATTATTTCTCTTTTTCCTTCCTCGCCTCCTTTCATTTCCTGAGCCGTCTTTTTCGCCGCGGCTTTCAATTCCGTACCCTCAAAACAAGTATGCTAACATCTACTATAAATCTACTACATTTTTGTGAAAATAACCAGAGCGGACCAGTAGACAAGGTACAAATTCAAGCATTCTTATACATGTTTCTAACCCAAAAAACATAAAATACCAATGCATGTAATGCAAATCATTGAAATCAACTCCCAACCAACATATTTAATTTATATTAATAAAGGAGGGAAAAGGAGGCGTCGCAAAAATTCCTCTGATAAAATACAAATTTATCGGAGAAGTTGTGAATATTTTTATTTTTTTTTTTTTTTTCAAATATTTTAGACTATTTTGTTCGCAATTTATCTAAAACATCTGAGAATTTCAAGGAAATATGTACATAAATTTCGTCAAAAGCACATGTTTTCTTCGAGGAAATTCGGCAACTCTCGAATTTTCATGCTGCGTTTTTCCTTAGCACGACTGAATTGCGGTGCCAGAATGTAAAATTCCGCATCCAGGGGAATGAAATTACGGTTGGCAACTTTGGATCAAGCTCCGCTCCCTCTTTTGACCCGTTTGCTCCATAGTTAAAATAGATAACATACGTGGATGTTCCCATGAACTTTCAAGAGTCCTACCTGTGCTGTTAGCCGTCGCGGAAAGTTTTTACCGCGCTCTTGTTCCGAGAAAGATGCTCAATATGAAGTTTAGAGTTGCATTCTAATTTGGATTTACTGGAACAACCCCATTCACAGCGACAAGGGTTCGCACAATGATGCCGTATTACGTTACACTGCCAGTTTCATAATCGTGTTTAAGGTGATTCGACGGTTGCCATTTTTTGTGTTAGAGTGGCTTGCGAAACATCGCATCAATTCGTTCCATAATTTCAGCTACTTGTCCTTTTTTTCGAATGTTGAAATCGCACTTCTGTTGCCATGAGACTAAAGAAATTGTGTACCAAATTTGACAAAGAAATTCAACGTATTAAAAACAGGGTTTTTTCAGAGGAATAAAATCGCATTCGAGTGCAGTTTCGATATCAATATCGAATGCGATATTTTTCCTCTAAAAAAAACCCTTCCTTTATTACGATGAATTTCTTCATTGTTTTTGGTTCATGAATTCTTCAGTCTCATGACAACAGAAGTGCGATTTCAAAATTCGAAAAAACCGATAAATGGCTGAAATTATGGAACGAATTGATGCGATGTATCGCACGTGGCTCTGACACAAAAAATGGCAACCGTCGAATCACCTTAAGCTTACTGATCAGCAAAACATAATAAGATCGGTCCAAACGCCAAATTGCTAGATCAAATATGAACGCAGTTGTTGCTCATCAAAAAACGGCGTTATTGGACGTAGGAACTTGGCGTATGGACGGATCTTGTATGTGTTTGCCAATATTAAAGCTCTAGACATCGAAAGACGATTTTATGACTAGTAAAACTGACCCGATATCTGTAACTTCCCCGGAAGAATAAATCACGGAAACAGGGTTTCTTAAAATTCCCTTGACAAAACACGTATTTTTGACGAAATTTATGCCTATTTTTCCCTGAAACTTTCAGATGTTTTAGATTAAATTGTATACGAAATTGTGTGAAAATTTTGGGAACAAATAGTCCCAATTTTCTCAGTAAATTCGATTTTTATCGAGGGAAATTTGGCAACTTCTGAAGGCTCATACGGTGTTTTTCCTTAGTATGGCAGTATGGTACATCCGAGTGATTTCAAAAAGCGAGCCTTACTGGCACGCTTAAAAGTGCCATGTTAACTACGTCCGCAGTTAAATGAACAAACTCAGTGGTAAGTTTTTTAAGTGTAAAATGAGCATTTGATACTTGTCGCACATTTTTTTTAACAGTATGAATGCGGAATCAACATTTAATTTTTTCCGTGTGCTCCACCGTGGGGGCAAGGCTCGGAGGCCCGTACGCGGTTTTTTTTCTTAGCGCGGTCTCGCGGGAAGGCGCGGAATGTATGTAAATTTTATTCAAGCCCGAGTTTGCCGGTGCCCGCGACTCGCGAGGGCGGGTTAAAGTTTCTTGTCTAAAATTTTGCAGGTGTGTGCACCCGGCCCGCGCCCGGATTCCGGCTGGAAAGTTTTAATTTCAGCCGGAAAAGTCCTGTCCCCCGCCCCCGCCCCGCGCCCTCGCCGAGGATAAAAAATAATCATATTTTCCCGGGCTCCGGAGCTCCCGCCAAATCCGGAACCTCGTGCGTGATTCCGCTCGGCGCACACAGGAGCGAATCAATTGGGAAAGTTGGACAAAATTTCGAATCGTTAAAAGCTCGAATCAGTTTTAATCATAGAGTAGAGGATCATTTTTAATCATTCGGATAGAGGGAAAAGCTAGAAAAACTAGGATTACCAAAGGTAAAATTGTTCAGAAGGACTCCATGGTTTGATTATCCAAATCATAGCATTTGATTAAAGATTCACATGTTAAGTAAACCAGTATTTACACAACAAACACCAACATTTTTTGAAGCGCCGATGAAGTCAATCCATGAACGGGCCATTCCGAGCCCCTTGTTCGCCGGAAAGTGGGAACCATCTGGGAACCGTTGGGTTTTTTCAACCCGGCGGCCTATGGGGGAATAGCAGGCTGCGAGTGGTTTTCGGGATTTATTCATTTAAATCGATCATTATTTCCGCGAATTTTGGCGAATTGTGTTCACCGAAGTCATGAAAAATTCAAAAATGTACAACACTCCCGGTTTTTATGAAATAAATTTTATACGTGTATTCTCTGAGCGAAGGCCGAGCTGGGACCTCGCGCATACGACATCGCCACTCGCCAGTCAACACAAACTAGTCCACGGGGTGCTAGACAAAACAGCCTCAAAAAGTGACTTTATCGGCGCTCCAGAATATTGCGACTCTATTTTACTCTATGGTTTTAATGGACTACTAGACGAAGTACAAAATTAAGCATTCTAAAATTATTATTCCAAATTAAGCATTGGTACATGGTAGGGATGGAGGGGGAGGGGCTCTAACTCGAAGCGTAAGGATTACCACTTGTGTGGTATTTGAAGAAGTAAAAAAAAAAAAAAAAAAAAAAAAAAAAAATTCTGATACATGTTTCTTAACCAAAACTTTACGTAGAACACAATTCGCGCAACGAAAAGTACCGAAATTAACTCCTGACCAACATATTTAATGTTTTTTTGACGCGTGAATTCAAACCTCCCGCTCATGAAAACTCGATGGTCTGCGTGAGTCAAATCGCACACCAAACGTTACCGTGGTAGTCTCTGCAATACGAAAATACAGTAGCCTCAATCATGACGCTTCGGCTCAGCTATAGCAAATTATTTACACTTTGAACGATGAAGGTTAGGAAAGGAGTAGAACTCGATCGAGAAGCCTGCCGAAACCGGCGTTAGACAATTCAAATTTCCTATAACCCATGTAAAATTAAAACTTTAAATCTTAGGAGTTGATTTCAGTAATTTTTGATGCAAGAATCGTGTTCTACATGAAATTATGGTAAAAAAAACATGTATTAGAAGGCTTAAATTCGTACTTTGTCTCGAGTTCCATTACGAACGTAGAAGTTGAAGAGTGAATCTATTGGGTTCCTCGCAGAGTCTCATGCACGAAATCACCCTTGAAAATGAATTATATGACACATTAATCGTCAAAATTTGCTGAAATTTCCTTTCTTCCCCTAAGACGCTTAGTTCCGTTTGGTAGAAATACACGTAAAGTCCATTTTGCAATGAGGAACCATTATCTCTGGCTCTTCAATAAGAGCACCTCTCTGCCTAGTGAAACCAATGACATAGTTTCTAAAATGAGCCAGAAACAGTGGTTCCTTATCGCAAAATGTGGTCCAACCCCTCTTTTTGCTCTAGCTGAAGTTTGCGCCAGGCCCATTAAAGGTCAAACGAAATAAGAGCCTACTGAGAAAAAAAGTTCGGTAATTCCGAACTAGTTTGGTTCATATGGAACCAAGATTTTGTTCGGTACACACGACCGAATCATTTGGTCTGCTCAGCCGAACTTTTCGGTCCACTGAACCGAACTGTAAGATTTTATTATGGTTCGGTTGCACAAACCGAACAATTCGGTTGAACAGACCGAATAATTCGGTTGTGTGTACCGAACAAAATCGTGGTTCCATATGATCCAAACTAGTTCGGATTTACCGAACTTTTTTTCTCAGTGCAGCAACGAAGAAGAGGAATTCAGGAATGAGTGGATCAAAAATTACTAAAATCCTTGGAAGTGTGTAATCTCTATACCAATTTGTGCGATGAGCCGACTTCTCTCATCGTTTTCTATGAAGGGACACGAGAGGAATGGATCCCCAACCCGGAAAATTGCACCGTGCAGACTGGCAACAATGGGAGCTGCCTGAACGCGGTTAATATGAACGAATGATGCGTTTGTCTGATGCGCGCCCGGCAGACACGCCCAATCGGATGAGATACGATCCGGGCACATTGCATCGGAACGAAGCGATTGCGGGGTTGCGCCGCTATCTGATACTCCGCCGAGAGGATGAAAGGGGATGGAGAGGGTTGAAATGCGAATCGGTGAATCGGTGGCGTGCTCGTCAGTACGAGAGAACGGAGGAGTGTTCGGGGAAAAATTCACACGGGATCACGTACCTCGTTTTTGCTCGCAACACTTACGTTTGAACATACTACATTCGGATCGCATTTTGCGAAAAGGAACTAAGAGGATTCCAATGTTGCTAAGATTGTGCAACTTCTTTTGTCTTGAAAGAAAAACTCTGATCATCTATAAACATGTTCTATTCTACTCGCTAAAACCTGTAAATTTAAGGCAAAATTACCGTAGACTGGAGAAAAAAACACATTGGATCTAGAGTCCAGACTCTTGAAAACATTGACAAGAAAAAGGACTCTTGAAAACATTGACAAGAAAAAGGACTCTTGATTCAATCAGATTTAAGCTGAAAT